AGTGGGTGGTGCCGCCCAAGCGAGAGAATGAATCCTATTTTGGTGGTTTTTTAGTTGCAGCAGCAAACGGCCGTCAGCAGGCCGCCACACCTTTACTGTCTCTCCCCACGAAGAGGTGGCTATCAAATACCCCAAGCTGCTGCTGCTGCTGCTGCTGCTGCTGCTGGTGCTGGTGGTGGTGCTGCTGCTGCTGGTGGTGGTGCTGCTGCTGCTGGTGTGGTTGCTGTTTTCTTCTGCTGCTTCCGCAGCTCTCTCAGTCGCTTTACCTCCTCCTGCTGCTGCTGCTGCTGCTGCTGCTGCTGCTGCTGCTGCTGCTGCTTCAGCAGCAACACCACAGGCAGGGGCAAACCTGCAGCATGTGAGGGGTCGTTCGTCTCCTACAATAGAAGCAGATAAATTTATTTTGTTTTGTATATATTTATTAAAATAAAATAAATTTATTATGGGGCTTGTTGATGGGAGAGAAGAAAGAGAACGCTCCTGCTGCAGCTTTTTTACATGCTGTCTATACACCTGCTCCTGCTGCAGCCGTTCTGCTGCTGCTGCTGCTGTTGCTGCTGCTATCGATCGCCGCATCACCAGCAGCGCGTTGCTGCCTTCAGTATAGAACGTTCCCTCTATCTCTTCTTCTTCTTCTGCTTCTGCTGCTGCTGCTGCTCCTGCTGCTGCTGCTGCTGCTCCTGCTGCTGCTGCTGCACCCTGCTGCTGCTGCTCCTTCTCCGTCTTCAACTGCGGCTTCCTCACAGCTATCACCCGCGCAGCAGGGTGCAGCAGCTGGGGTGCAGCAGCAGCAGCAGCAGGAGCAGCAGCAGCAGCAGCAGCAGCAGCAGCAGGTATAGTACGACCCTCGGCTAGCAACGCCTTCAGGCGGGAACGCCGCTCAAAGGGCCCCTCGCCAAACAGCGTTATGGGCTCCCCCATGCGTCTGATAGAAAAAACAAAAAACAAAAAAAAAACAAAATAAACATATTTATTTATTTAAATAAAATAAAATAAAACAAAGTAAAATAAAATAAAATAAAATAAATAAAATAAATAAATAAAATAAATAAAAAATAAAAAAAAAAAAAACAAAAAAAGCTTACCTGAGTGCATCTCGTACTTCTGAGTCGATGGTGGGCGCTACCGTTTTAAATGAGTTCGCCGTTTGCTGTATTTTAAATGCCTTCATTCTTTCTGCTTGCATGCGGTTTTCATCTGCTGCTGCTGCTGCTGCTGCTGCTGCTTCTTCGTCTGCTGCTGCTGCTGCTGCTGCTGCTGCTGCTGCTGAGCCTGCTGCACCGGGAGAAGGGGATGAAGAGGTGCTGGCTATGGGGCCATCCTCGAGAACTGCTGCTGCTGCAGCAACTCCTGTTTGTGTTATCTTTCCAAAATATAAATGAGATTTCTTCTCTTCTGCTGCTGCTGCTGCTGCTGCTGCTGCTGCAGCACCCTTGACGATACCCCCCGCCCCAGGGGGAGGGGGGGGGCGGCCTGAAGCGTCTGCCATTGTGAGGCAAATCCTACTCCCGCTGCTGCTGCTGCTGCTGCTGCTGCTGCTGATTTACCTGCTGTTTCTGTTGCTGTTGCTGTTGCTGCCGGTGCTCTTTCTGCTGCTGTTGCTGCTGCTGTTGCTGCTGCTGTTGCTGGTGTTGTTGGGGATGTCTTGCGCGAGAGAGGAGACTCGTGCTGGGAAAGAGAAGAAAAGAAGAAAACGATAACAACAAAACTACAGAAACAACAAGCCCGCCGCAGCTGAGGCGGCGAGGCCGGTTCAGGCCCACCGGTGAGCTCAGGGAGAGAAATGGCTCTTTAAATCAGATGAAGAAACTCCTTCGCCACCAGAACAACAACAAAAAAGAGAAAAAGAAATTAAACTTCTTCTCTCTGCGTTTAAAAAAAATACTAATAACAACAAACAGGGGAGCAGTGGCTGGACGCATGCACCACCAGGTCGCAGCCAACTTGCAGAAAACGCATGCAGTAGAAGCCCCAAAGAAACGCTGATGAAAAAAAAAAGAGTTTTCAGTAGTTAACTCAAAAAAAAAATATTTATATTGAAAATTCTTTCGAAGTTTATACGCGAAATCGGTAACTTATCTGTGCGTGGTTTCCGTTCTTCGTTTGGTGTTTGTTTGCCCTGACGGGTCGATGAAAAAAGCGAAGAAAGCTGAAATTAATGAACGAAAAAAACATTAATTAAAGTAAAAATATTATTTATTTTCCATAAAATAATGTTTAAAAGATGAATTTCACGCGGATTCTCTGCAGTGGCGTCACCGGGCGGCGGGTTTCTGAACCGCTGCTGAGGTGTACATACACCTCAGAAATGGGGTTTATTGAACGGTGTTCACTTTTGTTTTTTCAGTGGAGAAAGCGGCATCAAAATATAAATTTTTTCGCAGATCAACCATTAAATTCATCTTCTTTTTCATATTCTCCAAAAAATTCAACTTTTTGTGGTATTTTTACCCCATTTTCCACCAAAAAAACAAACGGAAACACACAGAAAGCTGCATCACCCCCGTCGTCAGCAGCTTCCTTTGGATGCCTTCAGCTTTCGTCTACTCGTCTCGCCAAGGTCCGTCTTTGTTATTTTAATTAAAATAAATTAAAATAAATTAAAATAAATTAAAATAAATTAAAATAAATTAAAATTTATATGCAGGAAAAAGTTTTATTTGTTTTTAAAACGCTTTCTTCTTTCTCTTCTTTTCTGTTTGTTTATGAATACATAGATTTCACCTCATCTACCATTTCTTTTATTTTGTTGTTTTTCTGTTTTTCTTTATGGAGAACCCCCAATGCCTCCCTCTTTATTTATTTATATCATTCTTTTTATTTTTTAGTTTATATAATATATATATATATATATATA